ATTATTAATTATTATTAATTAAATTAAAAATTAATATTTTTAAAAATAATATTTTATAATTTTAAATAACTTTAAATTATGAGTGATGATTGTAAACATAATTATTCTTTAAGTTTAAAATATAAATTTTATAATTAATATTTAAAAAAATTAATTTTTTAAAATATAATAATTGATATATATAAAGTGTATTTTTAAGATCAATCGAGATTATCTCAAAATATATAAAACACAAAAACACCGTAAGATAAGAGTAAATAAAAAAAATAAAAACACCATGCATGTAACGTTGGCATTGTACAATTATCATATGCATTGACAGTCAAATCTGTCACAACTTTTTGGGCCCAAAGAAAACAGCAGCCACTGCTTTTCCTTCACCTTTTCTTCCATGATTTTTCTCCTCACCCGCCAATTGCTCCCTAAATCGCGTTGACTGTTTAATCAACCTGTCTGTCTTGTAACCCGGGATGTTACACAAATCAATTTTCCAATGAAAATATCTCAAGACAAGTTTCATTTGCCCTCTCTCTTTCTCCCTCTCGGCGAAAGTCTCTGCTGCATGATTCTTTTTTGAAGCAGAGGCCGTGTGTAATTTCGTAAGATACTGTATCAGAAGAGTATAGCAGTGAGTGGTGCATAATCATAAAAATTTATTATTATTAATATAATTTAAGTTTAAAGTTTTAGAAATTATATACCTTTTGATTTGAAAATTTATTCAGACAGTAACATAACTTGGCCTAAATTGTTTCCATTGATATATAAACAGTTTTTATTTGTACGCCGCCTAAGTTGACCAGAAATAGCAAAAATATAAATGAGCTTAAGTTGATTGGAAAATGGAAATAGTAAAAGTAGTATAATTATAATATTATATAATATTATAAATTTATAATATTTTAAAAAATAATTTAATTAATTAAAAAATAAAATCTTAAATTAAAAATCTTAAAATTTAAATATTAAGATAAGTAAATTGAGATTTAAGAAAATAAAAAATATCAAAAAAATGCTCATATATCAAAAAAAAAAAATTATAATATTTTCTTCCAAGATTTTTCTCCTCACCTGCCACCTGCTCCCTAAACCGCGTTGTCTATTATGTAACGCGGGATGTTACACAAGTCAAATTTTTCAATGAGAATATCTCAAGACAAGTTTCATTCATTTGCCCTCTCACTTTCCCTCTCGGGGAAAGTGTCCACTGCATGATTCTTTTTTCAAACACGGGCCGTGTGTATTGTCCTAAAATACCGTATCGGGAGAGTATAGCAGTGAGTGGTATATAATTATGAGAATTGATTATTATTAATATATAAAGAAAAGTGTATATTAACCTTAATTTTTAAAAATAATTAGAATTTTAATTTTAAATTATGTTATTTTATT